TTTTTTTCAAAGATTTGAATGAAGAAAAAGCCTTCATTTAAATATTTAGTTATGGTGAGACCAACATTTAAAGAAAATCTTTACAAACAGATAATGACAAGCTTAGAGCTCATTCAGAAGAGCTTTTGCATCGAGTAACATTCTAACACTGTGAGCCAAGCTTTTCACAAAACGTATTTCTCACTGTGGAGCAGAGAACACAGAGGGAGTTACTGCACGAAGACGGCAAAGTTACTGTACACCAAAGTCATGATAAGACATGATGTTTTTAGCAGAGCAAAGCTTCAAATGGAATGCATGGCATTTCACGAACAGTTAACTTTGGGTAAATATTATGATTTATGCTGCAGATCCATGGAAATTGGAGATTTAAATGAACTCACTACCTTGCTTTTGTTTGCCTTGAAGCACCAGCTAAATATTTGAGCAGACAGGTGATACCCTCTTGGCCAGTGGAACGTTCCGAGGCGAGAAAAAAAGAAGTGTTCAAGAATGCCATAGAGATAACGGCGCCCTTTAAACATCTGAAAATGCCCAGGAAGTTGGACTTCTCACGGCCACTTTTGTGTCACTGAACAGGCACACCATTTGGATGGACACAAATTTGTAATGCTTTGGAACATCCGACAACATTAAATTGGAGGACAGTTTTATTTTCTTCTCTGTGATAAACATTTGGTTGGTAAGAAATACAGGTTCACCCACATTCTTGAACTTGTGGGGCTAAACGGTAGCAAGGTGGGGTAACTATGACATCCTGAAGTTACAAGTCAGGTTAATGATTATCTCAGCTTGTCACCTTTAACACAGTTGAAAACCCACACACATGACAAGCCTCTTTAATAAACATGTGGCCTGCTGCAATAATGAGGCACAGCATAACTCAAGCTCAATCAGTGTTTTTATTTTAAAACCCCCGATTAATCCTGGCACTAGGTAAATATTCCTTATTATAACTGTACCGCAACGAAGGTTGAGTCACTCTGAGTTTATGCCAGGTGGTAAAGATATAACGCTATTACTAATAATAGGTCGAAATGATTAATCTAAACTATTTCCATTTTTTCCATTTAGACCTTAGACACTCTTTATTATTTGACCCTGTGTAGTTTTTGAAAACACTCCCATAACCTTTAGTGTGCACAAATGTCATTCCAGCTCTTAAAGCGACATCTACTCTCCTCTACTATTATCTAAGTGAGGCCAACCTGCATATATGAAATAATATTAGGTCTCTTTCACTTTTTACCTATCCCTTCGCAACTTCTTTAATTAATCAATTCATTTATGTATCCATTTAATTTTACCAAACAATGTTTCTGATTACAATGTTCAGGATTAATATGCATATTGAGATTTTTGAGTCATTGAAACACTGCAGCTGCAATGAAGGTGTATTGTATGGGTTAAAACGCATTTTGTCACAAATAACTTGTGAGCAGATATTTGCTTTTAGCTTGCTGCACAGCTCCCCTGGAAACAAGAATTTGAATAAAGGCTCAGTCCTGCATACACAGTACCAACGGTTCCAACGTGGTGTCAATGTTTACTCTGGTTAAATGGTCTCCTTCATTCTCCCATAGACTCAAACAGTGGATTACTCGAATTTCTAAAACCATTCATGGTCTGTTCTTAAACTGTCTATGGCCTCATCAGTTCCTGCCCGACTTTCTTTGAGACATTTTAAGGCTTCAATAAAAAAAAGGCTGAATGAAAAAATAAGGCAGAAGTTAAAGAAGGAGTTTCCAGTTTAGCTTGCATTGTTAGTGGGACATGCTTTTGAATACACTGACATTGTGCAGAGAAGTGATTCTGCTCCTCTTGTGTAGGTAATACTGTAACACTGCAAATTTTTTTTACTTTTTTGTCATGTGAGAAAACTGGTCTCACTCCTCTCGTGTACTGTTTGCCAGTGGTTAAAGCTGGCTTACTTTGTTTTGCATAAAGGTGGACAGTAGAGGGAAAAGTTATCCTGACAGGCAAACCACAACACCAGGAAGTGACTGTGTCTGTCCTCTAATGTAATTACTTTAAAAATGCTGTAATATTCTCTACTGATTAATCATGTTATCCAAGCTTTAGATAAAAACATTGCTCCCAACTTTTATTCTATGTTAACTGTTGCTGGGGTAAATTAGTTATAATTGGAAGTTATCCCCCTATCCAAGCTTCGTTTATAGTCAATTCTTTATTTAGTTCTATAAAACAACTTTTTAAAAATGATATTATACATGGGTTGGGGAGCCATCTGCCTGATTCCTGAGCCCTGGGACTCAATCTTGCCTGTCACTGACCCGACACACAGTGCTCGCAGCCCAAGGTTCGCTGAACACACGAGGAAGTGCAGTGTACCTCAGATAACACTCTCCCTCCGCCAGCACCCCTACCACAAACACATGCACACTCTCAGCAGCCATCCGCACACAAACGTGTGTACTCATCTTCACCCGGCCATCTCTTGTCTGCTCCCCCTGCGGTTTGCCTATCTACGAGCTTCTGGTTGGTGGGCCTCAAGAGCACCCCTCCGCCGCACTGTAACAGCGCACACAGGACCTCATGCTTCCTGAGCAGCTTTGGAAATTATGTGAAGTGGTAGTGACCCACAAAAAAAAAAAAAAAAAAAAAAGGACAGCCTTATGTTCCATCCGTATTGCAGTACCTTCCTTCTTAATCACAACATATCCGCTAACTGCCAGAATATGCTGGAGAAAAGATACTGGCAGTTTTGATCCGCAATCCATTTGTGCTTTATCTTTTTTTAAGCAAGTCGCCAATTGAAAAATCTTGTGGAAGTGACCTTACGTGACGATTGTAGAAGTTACTTATGGATACAGCGTGTGACAATGGTAGTATTTAGTTTAAAGTCACAGGAGTCCAGAGGGTACGGGAATGTGTTGTGGCGTACACCATGGAAAGCCTCCTTTGTAAGTGAGGACTTGATGCTATCGCCATTAAATAGTTTCTCACTGACAAAAAAAAAAAAGAAAATGGAGCTCAAGCATCACATGGTGAGGCATGAAGCATCACATGATGCTGAGGAAAGACATTGTGATATGATCAAGGGAAGTCATTTTAATAGAGGGCTTGGAGGGCTTCTGTTCAATATTTCCTTTTTGGTTCTAAAAGAATCAGTGATAAGCCAGCTCCACAGATGCTGAAGACAGTTTTCCTACTGCGTATTTGTTTTTACAATTTCTTACAGGGCTGCACAGTCTTGTTGCCTCACATGGGGGCTTTTACTGGTTCAAATCTAAGCTGGGGGCCTTTCAGTTCATCCAAAATCATGCATTTTAGGTCAAATTGACCCGAGGAGTGACTGTGATTGTCTATAATTGTACATCTCTGTGTGGAACCTATGATAAACTGGAAGCCTGTTGAGGCTTCCCCCCTTTTGCTCAATAACAGTTGCTATAGGTTTCAGTCCCCCCCAAACGGCCTTACTTGAAATAAGCAGGTACAGAACATTTGAAGCCATATTTCATTCTCTGGATATCTAGATCAGGAAACCTGAAAAAGTTGTGCTCCTATTGAGAGACAGGCCTTACATCTCTGTGGTGGCCATAACATGCCCACAGAAAAAAAAAAACACAAGAGGGTTTTCTTATTAAACTGCCATATTACCAGGAAAGGAAAGTGACACGTTTATCAAATTTACAACCACTGCAAGGAACCGCAGTTCTTAGGCAATCGCGCCCACCGTACATCGACAGGGCAAATGTTTAATAAAAAACAGGGTGTTCATGCAAATTCTCTCTTTGTCAGGTTACCTTGTTCAGTGTTCATGAAGAAAAATAAAGTTGGCAATAGAGGCTTTGCTGTAAACTGTCTTTGTCTGGCTTTATTAAAGGAAATATCTATAAAATAACAACTGATGTTGTTGCAAGAAGCAGAAAGATTCATGAGGAAAACGGCATTGAGGTGTTTATTCCAGTCATCCTGCTGTATGTTCTTAAAGCTTTATAAGAATAAAGGGTTTGATTAATTGAAATACAAAGATTCTGAACTGTGTACAAGTCTTCTGGTTTGTGTCTTTGCTTGATGGACCAGTCATTTGTATACATCTGTGGTTCATCTCAGCTGCTCTCCCCTTGTCCTAAAAAACTTCCTAAAACCTGACTAACAAACTTCTTAGTCTCAATTGTGGGATTTCCTGCCTGTGTCTTATCAGTGAGATCCTAAAACAATGGACTCTGCCCCCGCACCTTTTCTTCTACTGAGCCTGTCTGAGCGGCTGCTCTGAGTACCACTGTGCTTCTCTTGGCTTTCCCCTCATGGCCAGATGTCTTTTTCTGGTCTGAGGCCAAACAAGCACAATAATGCAAAAGACAGAATGGCTAAAAAAAGATACAAGGTGATATCCCTTATAACCAGCTGAAAAGGGCTTTGTTGCACGGTTGCCCTGATTCACATGGCCAGAAAAATACATTCAGCCGGACAATGGCATGAAGGACCCCAACAGACTTATTGCTCAGCCCTAAACATATTAATTCTGTGGACCACTTACTCTTTATTATTCAGTTGTCCTTATGAATTATGGCACAACCAAAGGTGTAAATTGTCAGGTAAATGTCACCTTTGATGAAAAATGGCACCAGACACCTTATGGCGCTTTAACAAAGGAACATCAGAAAGTGATTCAGAATTTGCTCAAGAATTTCAAACGTTTTTCTTGTTGTTTTTAAAAAAAACTCCCATAACCTGTCCTCCTGATGCAACCCAACACTGTGACTTATTTGAGGATTGCAACTGTTTGTTCAAGGTCTAGCCCAAAGACACCTCAGCATGTAGCCTGGGGTCAAACGGCCAATCCCTCTATTGACCGACCACCTCACTTTCTCCTGAGGCACAACTGCCCCCCATCCAAGACTGAGCGGCTTCCACTAAATACACAGCATAGTCATCAAGAGATTAAGACGTTTCTAACGGCGTTAAACTTTAAACATGTGAACTGTTTAAAGTGAAGTGAAATGACAGACCACCAAATATACACGAACGTGGAATTAAATATACACATTTTTATTTACACTGACTCGCGTGTCGTTGCAAGACATCAGATTTACACAATAGTTCTAAAGCTTTTTAATAAATATGAAGCAAAATGCATGAAATGCATGGAAAGGTATAATGGAAGCGATGAAACAGAAAATAATCCCTATCAATTGGAGGAATCTCTTTTCCAAGTTGTGGAATCAGTGACAACAGTGAGTTTCCAAGTTAAAGACAAAAACAAAAAAAACTGTGGTTTAAATGATGAGTCAGCCTGAATGAAAGTGTTAGCTCAGGTGAATCTTATTTTTTTTCTTTTTTTTTTTTGTTGAACATATCTTAGAGACAAGAGACACAGCAGCTTTTCCAGTTGAATCTACCACAGGAAAGTTTCTTTTTGCACACATAAGAAAATACAGCATAATAAAATTCTGCATCAATGTACCGTTTCTTCATTAAGATAGACGTTGTCAATAGCACTGACATTACTTTACAATATACGCACATTTATATTCACAAACAGACAAGGGCATGTAAGATGGTGGGGTTTTTACTAACCTAAATGAAGTGATGAATCTTTAGTAGTGGCACCTCTTGATATTAATTCTTAACTAGGCAGATATACAGTCATACACATGGAAGGAGATGTGCATGCTCTTTCATAAACAGACACACACACACACACATGCACACACACACACATAGCCAAGCAAACGTTTTCATACAAACAGGACACTTTCCTTGTACTCCTCAGAACAACATCCACCAGTAGGAAGAGGGGATTCTTAACGGACTCGAATGATTCAAACTACTGGCTGAGGGGTGCTGAAAATTCCACTTCTGAGAGAGGAAACAGCTGGATACAAAGAGGAGGGGGGACTGCTAGGAAACCAGCTACTGGCCGGAGAACAATGAGATGACACACCAAGTTCTGTGCCTCGTGAAACATCTGCGCCGAGAGCCCCCGAAGACCCCCTGGCACGAACACCTCAGGAAATTCTGCTCCCCACTTAATGCCAGCCACCTTAACGTCGCCTGGACTTAACTGGCGATGAAGAATCGCACCTCTGATGTGGAGTGAAAACACACGGACTGCCCGTCTGTGGCCCTTCATGAAGCGATAGGATGTGGAAAGAAGGGAAAACACCTAGCAGACTTTGCAGTACCTATCTCATGCTTGTAAACAAATATACAATAGACGTGGCAGGAGAGGAACCCAGTTTTACGGTTATGTACACCTTCACAACATAACATTCTCTATCTCGCAGTCCAGCTGTCAGAAATGACCTGGTTATGTAACAAATCTAAAATATGACTTCTCAGACACAGAGGCTTCACAGATTTTCTTTGACAATCTCTAATCTTGCATCTGATTGCAGATGACTAACTATTATCATTACTTTCATGTTTGTCTATGTGTGTCTGTGTGTATATATATATATATATATACATACATAGTCAACAAGCACATATATGAAAAGCTAGTGTACCATTATAAATACCATAACTTTGAAGACAACTCTGTGTTTTGAGTATTTGTAAGTAATGGTTTGTGTAATAAGGTCCAGACAGTTATTTGTTTTAGGTCACAACATTAAAAAGAGCAAAAGTACAGTAAATCTCCTACTCATCTTGAAGCACTTATGGACATATATATATATTGACCATCCTGTTCAATAGCTTATATAACAGTGTCTCCCTATCTCAAATTAAATTGGCCCCCAAAAAGTATCTTCTTCATATAGCATAGGTCTGAACAGTTTGAAATAATACTGACAATAAGAGTTAAAAAAAAAAAAGCAATACATGGTGTGTGGAATGATGTGAAGTTTAAGTGCCTCGAGTGCTTTTTTTTTCTCCTTTTCCCCCGCCACAAAAGCTAAACAGCCCTCCAGAGTGAAAATACCACTATCATTTCCATGACAGATAAACAACCAAAGAATAACAAAACACAAAAAAGTAATAAACAACAACTCTGATAGAAAGAAACAAGTTATGTACAGTATGGACTGCCAAAAATCATGGCAAAGCAAAAAACAATCGTTATGAAATGTGTCGGAGCGATATGTGACTGAAAAAAAGTGGAACAACAAAACAAAAAAAGATAACGGCAAGATTATGTGTTTCCTGACAGTTCAAGATGAATGACTGATAAATTTACGTCCATCCACCCTCCTTTTTTCGGCCTTAGCAGGTCTTCGCTGTGAGCCGGGGGGCACTAGTCCAAGTGTCTTCCCCCTGATCAGCAGGCAAAATCAGTGATAGCAAAGATAAAAACCATTCGTCCTTTGTCCCTCTAAGGTCCATCGTGAGGAAATGGGAGTGACTATTCTACGTGCAGCAGGACGACTGCCGCTGGTACCAGAGTGGCGGGGTAATGTGACGGTTGGATGGTTTTTCTGGCGGAACATTACAGGCACTTTATGAGACAGCCAAACACGTCGACTGGGTCCCTACACCCAGAGGGCCCTTTGGGTCGTCCCCTCCAAGAACACCTCGTGCTGGACCAGTAAGGGCTGTGTCGGAGTTCTGTTCCCACTGACAGAGTTGAGATTGTGACATTCTTTGCTCTCCGCGTCAAGCTCCTCCCTCGCTCTCGGAAACATCGGGAGCCTGGAGCTAAAGTTCAGATAAACCTGAAACGAAGGAAATATCTGTTTATGTTATTTCACCCACAACATCAGGTGAGGAGAGACACTGTCTGCTGAATGCAGGCACATCCCCCTCAACTTGCCCCGTCTTGTCTTTGAACCATTTCTACCAACTAGAGTTCTGTGGGGATTGTGGCAGCATGCACACCAGTGTGGAATGCTCTCATTCCCCACCGGATCATGTTTATTCAATTTAATTTGGCGTAGTGGCGAAGTGTGCAGGTGAACAAATAGAAAAACAATCGTTGCCCTTAGGTTAAAATGCTGGAAATTTGAGAAAGCTGATGCAACAATGCTTCCTGAACAATGTTCTTAGGTGGGTAACCACACTGCAAAGCTAAAGGTTCTGCGAGACCGTCTATCTCCACAATAAGCTCTTTCATCTATTGGGGCAATAACTGACGGTAAAAACTAAATTTCATGTTTCAAAAGGTGCTCCACGTATTTCTGACGCTGCTGTCTTGGCAGAGGAAGGTTATAGCATGCCCAAATGCATTTTCAAATCCTGTGCATAGCTGATGCACAATCTCTATTTATTACCCCACAAAGTATTCATGGATTTTTTTAGCAGAAAGTTGGATGTATTTGCTAAGCTTAAATGTTGCATATACTGCTCCACAGATCAAGCAAATACCCACGACCGGGTGTGCTTGGAATAGGGGCGATATGGTCTAAATAAGGACTTCTCGGGTCAGCTAAAGAAGATATAGAATTAGAAAAACCAAGAAATCTTAACAAATATTAAAAATGAGTTTGTACTGTGGATTTCCCGTGGAAATGGTATGCAGACAGAGCTTGACAATGATTTGCCATTGACAAATACATATACATAAGATTTGAAACGAGCTAACAATGTGTCCGTGCATCAAAAATGCAAGCGGAGGTAATGCAATTGCTTTATCATGTAAATGATAGTTCAGGTGAACACATTTATAAAACATAACAATAACAATGTGGGAAGTACTAGGCAAGCAGGAAGTGGGGTGGGTCTGAGGGGATTTCATGAAAGTACTACTGATTATTTGATTTAGTGTTTTCATTGAGGAGAAGGAACCAATCATACTGTAAGTATTTTATGGTGCTGGATGTAGCATTTTTAGACGAAAAGATTACTGTTATAATGAAACTTCTCTCCAGGTATGTATCAATGGTTTAAGACATTGCTAAAGATATAGCTAACTCCTTTATTCATCCTTTATAAGGATATTAGGTTTATTTTGTATTATAATCATTCATATCATATGAATACAAAATGCTTTAGTATGGACAAATATTATATATATATTATATATTTAAGAATGAGGTGTTGCAAATCTGATATACTTATGGATTTCAATTCACAATACATTCATGGTCGTTTGTTTACAGAAAGAAAACGGGGAGAAGGTGATGTAACCCTACATGCTTAGTGGCATCTGACAGCTGTTGCTCAATCCTCTCCACAACCTTCCTGAAGGGGGGTCTGTTGAAGGGGTCTTTATCCCAGCAAGAGCGCATAATCTGATACCTGCAAAATAACACACAAACAAACAGGTTTATTAGTCTGCAGATATTACATCCTGTTTTGTGTAATCCTGCTCCTTGGTCGACCACAAGGGTGGACTCATCCTAATTTTTGCAGTTATTCTTATCTGCAGCCAAATTCAACAGGATGAGAACGGGCTGTGCTTCAAATCCCCCACATTGCCTTCTTTGATAGTTTTACCACCTCCAATCTATCTAACTAAACCATCTCTTCTTTTGATCCCTTTAAACACTCGCACAGTTCACATCAACAAAGCACTCACATTTCACTGGGTGCAAACTCCGGAGCATCCATTCTGTATCCTTCTTTTATCTGTTTGTAGAACTTGGCGTCCACAGGCATACCGGGATAAGGGCTGTTTCCTAGGTTCAATGGAGATATTAAGTGTCTTTTTGCAATTCTGAAAACACACACACACGGCCAGCTATGCACACAGAATGTAGAAAAGAGTTGATGGGAAGACATACCCAGTGAGAAGATTTCCCAAAGCAAGATGCCATAAGACCACACGTCACTCTCAAATGTATACACACACTCAAAGATACTTTCTGGGGACATCCATTTGACAGGCAGACGAGCCTGCAAGAAAAGCATAATGGACTGAATAATGGACATCTGTAGTTTGTCGTAACTCGAAGCTTACTTTAAACATGGTGTGATTGAGAACTCCTAAATATACAGACAGCACTAAATACCAGCTGTAAAGTATTTGCCCGAGGTCTATAAAAACAAGCAGAGCCCAGAACAACTTTGACAACCATACTGATTCTTGAAAGAATCACTAATCTAATTTGACAGCTCATGCATGTACAGCTTAGACTCTGGGAGATTTTGAAATATTTGCACGGGCCTGACACAAGTCACACGGCCTGTAAATTGAAATAACATAAATTACGTTTTTTTTTATTCTAAGAATTTTTGTCTCAAGTCTGTCTTGCAAACATCAAATAACTCCTAGAAAAAATGCATAGGAAAATAAACTGCAGAAGCATTCAGGGAATTCCGCTCCTTTAATTTACGGCTGCAATAATATGTGTATGCCTACACACATCCGGCACTACAAGGGACACAGATTCAAAGAAAAAGCAATCTTCTGGTGTCTGATTCAAACTCATAGTTTAATATTACTACTTATCTATTAAATCTGGGTTGCAAGATAAGATATTGTGCATGCTGTATTGTTAAAACATTGGTTGTGTTGTTCAGTCATGAGAAATTTCGCAAAAAGGGACTTTTCACATATAAGTTTCAAAAGGGGACTTTTTCTGGGTCCATGCTGCTGAACATAAAACTTACATTGCCTTTGACTACATAGTTGAAGTCTGTTGTGATGTCTCTGGCCAAGCCAAAATCACAGATTTTTGCCACTCTGCCTTCAGTCAGCAGGATGTTTCTGGCAGCGAGGTCCCTGTGAATACACTGAAAAGCAAATACTCTGTAAATAAATCTGACGATACCAGAACAATTGATAGTAATGCATTAGTCATGAAGCAGGAGCTCTTCAAAAGCACTGCGGTACCGATTTTTCCGAGCCTGACTCTGTGACACAAAACCACTGACACTGATACTTAAGCTCATTGGTCACAGTATCTCTGCCTCCACAACCAATAAATTTTTCAACAACGTGCTCCAACATAGTTTTCGGATCTGTTTACTAGCTGTGGAAACAACCCTTAGTCCAGTGTAACAAACACTCAACTTTAATAAATCAGTCATCACACTTGGATTAAAAAAATAAAATACAAATTGGCACCTAAATCTGCATATTAAGGAAGTGCTCACATTTTTAGAAGCTAAGAACTCCATGCCTTTGGCCACTTGATATGAGAAGCTGAGAAGATCCTCTGTGTCTAGAGACAAGCCGTCCTCATCAAACATTTCGCTCTCTGAGTTTGCTTCAACGTAAGAGCCCCCTGGAACGGAAGAAAGATGATTGTTGTTATTCATCTGCATCAAATGAAGAGTTTTCTATGAACTTTAAGAATGCAGAATTCGATGAATGGCTGCTGGATGGCTCGCCTTTGCGTAGAGAACGTCTCCTCCCAGACGATGAGCTGAACGGTGGGCTGCCAGCAACAGAAGGCCTCATGGTCATGTAGCCGTTCAAGCTGTCACTATGAAGAGGAAAGGAGCAGTCTGGTCTCAGCTGAGCGCTGCCACACATAAGTGCACTGCTGTCCAAATCCCCCCCCCCTCCTACGCACATTCTGGGTTGTAAATACTAGCACTCTCTTTTCTCTTGCGCACAAACAATAATTCACTCATCGCCATACATTGAGGAGCCTGACCCTTTGGTTGCTTTCTGCTGCGTGACGTTGCGGTAGTAATAGTCTTCCTCGAGCTTGAAGCAGATGAAGGACTCCCTCTTTCTGCGAAGAAAGTTGAGAAGGTCTCCAAAGCAGCAGTATTCTGTGATCACCAGCGTGGGGCCTGCAGACAAAGAAACGCACTTTGGGAAAAAGACAGACCCAAATCCGTAGCATGCAACTTTTTAACGGGCTCATGTCGATGGAACTAAAATGATCTGCAGTTAGAGGAAGTGTCACTCTCTGAAGTTTCCTGGTTACAAGCCAAAGCTAGAAATGAATAGCGCTAGACAACATGGCGGCCGAACCTCCGATGGTGCAGGCTCCCAGCAGGTTGACAATGTTCATGTGGTTTCCCAAGTAACTGAGGACTTTCAGCTCTGACATCAGCGCCTCTTTCTCTGTGGCATGAGCACTCGCTGTGGAAAAGAAAAGGAGAACATTCGGCATTCATCAATGGATAAAGACAAATCAGCACGAGGATGATTGCATATTGTTATTTGTAGTTTTTTTTTTTTGCCAGACTACAACAATAGAGTCTTACTTTTAAGCATTTTCACAGCCACCGTCATGACCGAATCTGCTTTCGAGAGTCCATACGCAGTGGCCTCCACCACTTTTCCGAATGCACCGGATCCCAGTGTCTTCCCTGGATCCAGATGACAAAAAAAAACAAAAAAAAAACTTTTACTCCTCCATCTTTTTCCCTCCTCCCCCACAACAGGCCCCATAGCCGTTTTCCCCAGAACTAAAACAGCCTTAGCCCCCAGAGCTGAGTTTGTAGGCAATCCGGACACGCAGGATCCTGTTTGAGTACTCTTGAAAACAACTCCCAGAATATGTCAACACTATTATATTTGCATGGACGGCGTGCAGTTACATCATTAATAAACTGTAAAACAGGTTGGTCGGTACACCTGACTTAAGCCTTAATGCCGTGTGTGTACACAGTTATTCAGCATTAGGTAGCCCGGGGGTAGCACTAGGAATGTCATACTGAGTGCACCATCTGATTTTCTTGTTGGTGCTATCTCTGGCGTGACGCTGTTTACCTGCCCGTCTCACTCCTTCTACTGTTATCCGCAGCTGGGAGCTTGCTCCCGCACAACCAGGACATGAACGCCGCCGCGCGTCCGCAACGATGGATTAACGGAATTACGGAGGCCCAACCAGAACGAGGCCCTGCCTGATGCTGACAAAGGAGTGCTCACCAAAACACAGGTTGTTTCGCGGAAACTCCCACTGGTGATCGTACGGCAGCTGAGTCGGGTCAATGTACACATAGTTGTTTCCATGGATTCCCTCGATGACTTTCCACTGAATCTGGTATTTCGGTTTCTGACACGAAAAAACAAAACAAAACAAAACAAAACATTTAGCATTAACATTATTGATCCCGTCCATTAGGTTTCAGACATTTTCAGCTTTTTACTGTCGACCTGTCTAAATGTGACCAAAGGTGGTGTGTCCCACAGCAAAATGACTATTTCATCTCACCTTCATGTACTTGTAGACAAGCATGATGAGGATGAGGCAGAGGGTGGCTGCAGCCGACACAGAGCCGATGAGCAGAGGGGTAAACAAATCATGGGGAACTCTCGTCTCTATAGGGAGACAAAGTATTGAGGATTAGCAATTGCCATATATACACCCTAAACGGCATAGAAAAGAAGCATTAAGGACAAACCCGAGAAGACCAAGCGACACTGACGCACACTTTGATCAAATAGCAAGATACTAATCCAATTACATATGCATGCAGATTTTCCTAGTTTTTTTTTATTTGCAATTTTAGCTTGTCAATTTGTTTAGTTGTTAAATCTGATTTGATTGTCCTACATTTATTTACTGTGCGGGTGCTGTTGCTTTTACAGCTGTGCTGATGAGTAATTATGTTTAATCAGTGTTCTGTTCCTTTGTGTCTGCCTGGTGGTGATGCCTCATTGTTTTGCTCCTCTGTACACGAGGGTGTAATAAGCTCTTTAACGATAAGAAGCTTTCTCTCCACTTCAAATCTGAGAATGCAGAGTCTGCAGGAACTAATCCCCTGTAAACCTGTCAGTTGTTTCTAAAGCTCTGTTTTCTCTGCTGCAGCTCACTGACACCTCCAAGCCTCCCACAGGCCTCGAATGCCCGCCACCGCCAAGACTCCCACTGGGCTGCACACTCTCAGCGCCTCCGCCTGGTCTGCGAGTCTGTGAAGTACAAAAAATCCCGGGCACACGCTCCCGAAAGCCTCGTCCTGCCTGACCGCACACACTCGTTGAACGCAAAAGATGGCAAAAGATACCCCCCCCTCTCCCACCCCACCCAAGTCCAGCATGCACCTGGGTGAGCAGGCTCGGAGGGACAAAGTTGTTGCACATTCAGTTCCAGCACTCGCTTTTTTTTTTTTTTTAAAGAGGACTTGGTACAGCAGATGGGGAGGCCGTTAGAAGCGGGCGGATTTAGAGTCATAAATTACACAAAGGACTGACGCTAATTCCTATTTCTGAGTGACAACATCTTATGGCGGCCAGTTGTTTCTGAGGTAGTATCTCTTTGCTCTTGTTTACCAAACGAAAGACAGCCAACTGAGTTCTGGTAATCGGACCACATCTATGGCTAAGTCCTCCAAAATGATGCTTTTAGTAAACATTTGGAACTAAGGAATTATCCCTTGTGGGGAGGGGGGGGGGGGGGGGGGGGGTGGGGGGAGCAACCTGTGGGAACTGATAACACAGAGCAGAAAGTCACTGGGAGTTTTAGAATCCTCGAAATTACGATTGAAATCTTTTAAATGAGAATAGAACCTGTGTGATGACACATAGATTTTCATAAAGATGGACTCTTTTCTGTTTTTCCCCCATTGCACCTTAAACCTTATCTCAAGTTGAGAGCAAACAAAGGATTACATCAATTTGGCAACAAAGCATGCGACTGACAGGCACCGCACCTCTCGCAATTCTTTGCAGACCCTATCTGGACTGTCTGTGCACAAGGGCCGTGCTGGTGGGCATTTTGTTTTTCTTGTGAACACGTTAACTCACCATTTATAGAAAAGAGGATGAAGGCTTGCTCCCCTTCCGCTGTAGCTACACATTCCAGTGTGCTAAATCGTCCCCTGTTGATTTTCACGCGACTCTCCACCTCGGTTAACCCAAATACGGGGTTGAGCAATGTGATGGTGATGACATTTTGCTCCTCCTGGGTGGCATTCATTTGCTGTGAGCACCTGAAAGGAGGAAGATATCTCTTACTGAGAGCCGGTGGCATCAGTGAGTTATTTTCATATTCTTTCTTGTCAGGACATGGCAGCATCTCTTTCTTGTGCTTCTGAAAGACGTGCATTCTTTTCCCAATTGCTAGAAGCCTTTTTAGACAGAGTTTTTCATCAAATGCTGTGCCACTGCAAAATGTCCTCATATTTCATGAAATTGCCAGCTTTTAGTTTCACCAGACGCTTAGAGGGGAATTCCCTCTGTGGTCATGAAACAATGGTGACAAATCAAATCAGCCCAGGGCTCCATTCTTTACAGCACTGCACCAAAAAGAGTGGCTTCTTCCTAAATGGCCTCCCTGAAGTCACCTCATTTCCTGTTCCTTCAGGAACTGACACATACACACATACATTTACGCGCCATTGACAGTGCGCATAATGAATATTAAGTGGATTTGATTTCAAATAAAAGAATGAATGGATAACTTAGGGATTACTTATGATTAATTGGCTATGCTGTGTGGGATTGGCGTTTCTAAGGCAACCTGTTGCTCCTCCTGCAGCACACTTTACATTTGACACAGGATGAGCCTCTTCCAGTTGTATCCAGGCAGATGTCTTTGGTCCCCTACCAATCACAAATCAATTCTTTCCAATCCCCTGTCACATGGGGGTCATCTCATCACTGTCAACCAATCACAAATCAGCCCCGTCAAATCCCACAATCCCCCATTCCACCATCATCATCATTCCTTACTCGATCCTACCTGTCTTTAGCATGACCTTTAGGACCCTGGAAGTGAACTCCACAGATATGTGTGGAGGTTGGACTAATCAAACTACAAAGTACAGATCTGGAACTGAGGCTGGAGCTTAGGCAATAAATAGATTATGTATGAACATGGGTACAATACCCAATATAGCACCAAGAATTTAGCAGAAATTCAATAAAAAATGCACATTTCCTGTTGTAATTTTTTTAGAATGATCAGAACGACACCACCTCTGTGTGCTTGAACATGCAAATATTTGTTTCAATTAACTTTATCCCCATATAACTGAGGAAAGAACTGCTTTTGGTTTGTGAGCTTTTCTTCAGCTCTATCAGTTTGTAGACCAAGGGATCATTTTGAATAATGCCAACCACTTAAAACTTTTGATTGTTTGAAAGTAATTATCCAAATAATACAAAATATCCCAAGGACTGTGAGAATATAGTTTGGCAACTCAAATCTTTGACTGATGTACAGACACATGACTTCCTTTCCAATGTAGCTTCAGCCGCATAAAAAAGGAAAAAAGAACGCACAACACAAAAACAGAGATGTGCAAATCTCTTCAATGGCTTAGGTTGTTTTTAACATCTGATTTTCATTGAGACTCAAAGCTTCTAGGGGGCCGGTGAAAGTCTCACCTGACAGATGGCTGCTCACAGTAGTACCATTTGATTTGTGGCGCAGGGTAGCCCTCAGCCACACAGCGTACCTGTCCATCCACTGGGCCCTCAGATGATACAATCTGAGGCTTACCTGGTAGACAAAAGTTGGAAGAATAAAGAGTCAGGTGAGAATCGAACTACTAAAAGCGAGAAAAATGTATTTGGAGTGTTCTATAGCACTGAAGCACAGCTTACTAAGCTGTATACTGATAGGGTGTGGTGAAGGGTGAGGAGCTGGACCTTTCATACAAAGAAAAGGTCAACTCCCTCATGTCAGCCGCCAGAGATTAATGTGGCGTGCGCTCATAAATTTCACAGTGTAGCTCAAGGGAATTAAAAGCCCTTTAACGTAGTCTGTGTCACAACTTACTGATCACAAAGATGTTGAACGTCTGATTAACTGATGCGTCACCGTTGGAGGCTTGAAAGGTATAAACACCACCCTCTGACATTTTCAGCCGCACCAGCCTCAGCTCACTGCTGTATCTGAACATGGGAGGAGGGAATTTTTTAGCATGAATGTATTCACTGGATTGTTTTTTTCTTTCTTTTTTGGAATCCTTAAGTTGTACAGAAACATAAAGAACTTGCACTCGAGTGGAAATACTCAATGGCGCCTGAGAAAGTGTTTCCATTTATCAGATTTTGGGGGATTTTAGATAACAATCTTCTTTTGTTGACATCCATTTCTCTGCACACATCTGCACAGCATCTGCTTTTGTGAGTGATGTCCATCTGGGGCTGACAGGTTGCTTTCTAAAACTCCCTGTATCATCAGAAATGTTGGAGGGAGGTGTGGGGGGTGTGTGCTGTTTTGGATAACACATGATATATCTTTCTATAACACATAGGTAGGCCATGTCAGGGTTGGACTTCCTTTGAAGTGTAAATGCCATTCCTAATCTGCTGAGGATCGTTTCTGGGCGGGGTTCTTTGCTTCAGCTGTTTTTCTCAAAGAGCTGTGACTTGCAGCTAGTCTCATGGTGCCAAATTCCACTGCAATAACATAATAAACCTTTTTTTTGTCACGAGACTGGACTTAGGCAGCCTTTCTGTTTTTATCACACCTGTATTCTTTGTTGTGTGTGCTGATGACATGGTCGCTGGTGTTTCTCAGCTCCTGGCCCATGAAGCTCCAGGACATGGTGTGTGGCTTTGGGTACGCCTCCATGCTCACTTTGAGAGACAAACTCTCGCCTGAACGGACGTGGAATGTGCTGTTGCTTGTGGACGATAAGCTGATGAATCCCCTTTCTGAAATGGAGGATAATTGAGATTTTACTGTTGGACACATCAATGGAGCGAAGGGTGAATAACTTGTGTTATAATTAAAACAATCACTTAGAAACTCTGCCTTTTTGCTTACTTGTTGGGTATTTAATGATAAAAAGTAATATGACACACACTTGTCTGGCTTATTTAAATGCTGCATATGCAAAAAAATTAATAAAATAAAATAGAAGTAATAAATAAAGAAAGATTTCATGGCTATGTCGGACAGGGTAGCAAAGGTAACTCGTGAGTGATAACAGTTCGATTTTTGAGTGTCTGATTTTTGTTTTTGAGATGGTTGTTGATGTTGATGTCTAATTTCATCTGTCAAAATACCAACATTTGTTGTTTCGAAATGATTTAAATAAATGTATCTATTATCATGCTAAAACTCGACTCCATACTTTAAAATCCTGGCCTAATTTTCTTGCTTTATCTTTAAAACAGACCTTATCTGCAGTTTATGAGATGATTATATTGTAATCTTGACATAATAAACTTTGTTCTTGTAAGTATCACCCTGTACTTCTTAAGTCAATCTATTCTTTGGGACACCCAAAGCTGGCTGAGTAACTAGGCCTCAGCAATAATCTGCCTGAGCCTGAATTTCACCACAACTCTTTTCATCTTCATCAGTGTCGAACTGCAGCTGAAGTCAACATTTTTGTTGCCTACTCACCATAAACATCCAGCCACACCGACTTCATGCTCCTCCCTTTTTCGTTCCGGGCTTGGCACTTGTAGCTGCCCGTGTCCTGCGGGTGCACGGCGGTGATTTGCAGGGTGGAGCTGCGCACGTGCGTGAAGCGCTCGGGCAGGATCCGCGAAGCGCCGTCAACCTTTGGTGGTTGCTGTGGATACCAGATGGCACCCTGTCAACGCCCAGAGATCTCTAGAGATTAACCCCGTCTGCGTGACTATCCTTACCAAGCACATAATGACAAGGACACAAAACTGCCTGGATGCGAGCCGACATGTACGCGCAGGTACCAAACACAAGCCAAGATCCTCAGGCGGACACAGAGAGAGTTCTAATAGCTTCTAGTTTCACCCATTTAAAAAGATACGAGTGAGACAGGGAGGGAAATTCTGCTCTCTGATTTAGATAAGCCGTTCTTGGAAATGCAAACATTCATCCTTCACCAACTGCACAGCAATAGAGAAAGCAGAGGGATCTCACCGAGCCAGGAGGCGTGACCCACTCCAGGCCGATATCTCCATTCACATTACTGGTGTTGCAGGTGAGTGTGAGGCTCTGGCCGCGAGTAAGAATCAGTTTACCGGGCTGCTGCATCTCAATTACAGGCGGAGCAACGGGAACTGAAAGGAAATGAATCAATGTGCTTTAAAAGCTGGCTCCGATAGAACAAGAGAGAAAAAAAGGAGAATTGGCACTGAATTTTACCTGGATTCACTATCAACTGGAAATTTTGGGATCTGACATTTTTCCCCAGGAGTGTTCCTGCGCACACGTAGCATCCATTATGGGCCATTTGCACTTTGTGGATGATGATGCCCTGCTCGAGGCTTGCAGAAAACTGGAGACCAGAGGTGAGTTCTGCTCCAGAGCACGTTTCCAGGTGCAGATTGTCCAGACTTGGATCGGTTGCTCGGCAGGAAATAGAAGCAGTATCTCCCTCACGAGTAATAATGCTGGACACCATTGCTTTTCTGAAAGGATTTTCAGGATCTGCCAAGAAAATGAAATCACACGGTTGATGTCAGAGAACTGTGAGCAGGGCTTCATACTGTGCTGCTGAGGTTTTATGGCTATGATTTCTTATTTCGACTTCTCGGCACTGTGAGGGGACCGAAACGTTCTGAAAATAAAATAGGTGTTGATGAGAGGGTTTTTGTGCACATTGTATTTGCTGGAATCTTCAACTGTTGTTGAGAAAATATTTCAAACAATAAATCTGACATTCGCACATTACTTTTTTACTATTTGATTTTGAGTTAGGAGGTCCACTAAAGGCATCATGTTTGTCGACTACAAAACCAGACAAAGTTCTAAGTCAAATAGTGTCCACTTAGATCAGAAACAGCACAAGTGGAGGCTATGTAAAAAATATTACATAATTGAAATATTATATCAATGTTTAAGTAATGCCTGAATCTGAGAAACTCCAAGCTGACCTGATCAAATCAAACATGAGGATTCAGCAAATGCGGGAGTCCAATGCTTCGTGTTTTGTTCATGGCTTTATTCATTTTCTCTTTTTTTCAATGTTTTGTTCCTTTTCACTTCAATCAATTCACCAGCTTTCCACACAAAACTGACTCCCCACCTCTTTTAGCTGTTTCTTGGACAAGTGGAAAATTAGGAGTTTTATTTTTTTTAAAGATGATTGGAGTGGCAGTACGCTAGTTATATCCAAAGTATCAGACCTGCTCAAAGTTCCCCCTGAAGCGAATGAACATGAGCTACAGCAGCTGGTGCTATATAGTTAAACAGTTACTTTGATAAGAATGCTCTATGAGCATTTCTTTCACTTCCCTGGGAATTTTGGAAGGTGTAATAATAATTTGCACCTGTTGTTACCATAGTAACAAGAGAGATTACCAAATCAAACATTAAAGACAACATGGACTGAGAGGCAATACCATGAATCTGACTACTAAATGTAAATCTTCATGTTCTGTTCTCCAGACATTTAAAATTCACAAGATAAACAGTTGATCCGTTAATGTAATAACATTGCAGTGGCTATTATATCAAAGATTTGTTGTATTAGCAGAAATATTGTAAGTATAAGTTAAACCAAACCATCTTGATATAATGTTACCTTAAAGCATGGTTTTTAAGTAAATCAGCTGACTTCATTGTATAGTTGATGATAAATGTGGGAAGCCCATATTAAAGTAGTTATTGTTTGTTTCCGAAAAGAGAGATATGGGGATTGTCGAGTGAATGATCAGCACATGATATGAGCCTCCAGTCATGGCAATGGGCCAAGGGGATTTAGGGTCACGAAGACACAAATAGAGTCAAACTTAGCCAGGTTCCCAACACATACCTCTAGTATCTACTGTACCTGTCCAGGGCAAAGTTACAAACAACTTCTTCTGCAAACACACCCACACACTTCGCTTCCTGTCAGTAAAGTGAGAACTGCCAAAAAGATTTTGTCAGCCGTTCCCTGCAGTCTGTTTCCACTTTCTCCAAATTTCAGTTCTCTTTCTCTCGCGTACAAACACCACACAGTCCCGCACTCCATTAATCAGCCGACTACATCCAAATACCTTTCACGTAGACGTAGATGGAGGCTTGCTCGCGGGAGTTCTCATCAAGGCAGATGTAGCGGCCCATGTTCACTGGTTGAGCCCTTGAGATCTGCAGCGTCCACATCCCATCGATCTGTTTCGCTTTCAGGGGCTTGTTCCAGTCCTCTCGTCTCCACTGTGTCTTGTTGTCACTCTGGCAACGCAGGTCAAAGGGTTTTTCACGCAGGACAACAAGGTGGGACTGGGCTGGGATGATAGTGGGCTTAGTGTTGCCTGTGACAGGACAGGGTGGACGTTAAGCTGCATATCAAACATGTCAAAAACTTTTCATTGCTATCAAAGTAGTAGTCCACTTTCAGGAAATTCAACTTTCTTCTTAAGATAATCTAACAACATCTAGTGACACCCGAATGAAATGTTCTCTTTATTGTAATGCTTGCTGCATGGGTGTCCACAAACCTTATGATTTCCATGCACTGTAAAGGCTTAAACATTGAATCTATGATGTAAAGATAAAACAAACCCATATCAAAACGCTACACAAATGATTTGCAACTGCCAAAGCTTGAGGCATACTCTATCACATATAAAACCATTACTACTGTGTGTTATTAGGATGAGCAGTTCACCTGGACAATGAGTTGTCAGTGGGTTAAAGGAAAGAAAGACAAAGCAAAATGTGATGATTTCTTGAGAGCATCCCTGTAGGGACATCACAAAGTGGAGCTCCTTGATGGGAAAAGCTTGTGCTTTGAGCCAATGAAAGTAAGCTTAAGCGCATCAAAATTGAGCATCTCTCTATGATAAGATGACAGCTAAGCATTCTTGATAGGTACAACAATTTTAAACAGAAAGCATCACTGTCTATTTAGGCCACTTGTGACAAACAGTTTGGCTGGAACCTCGAGGACAGCAGCGGGAGTCTGAACAAGACTGCCGCTTATTGAAATGCTCACACCATCTCTCGATCTGTTCTTTCAATGAATTAACTTCTTTTGGAGGTACGCCTGTCATAGGATCTCAAATTCGTCAGATTACACAAAAACAGCTATGAATCTTTGTGCGCTAACACCTCTGACTTAGACTTTGCCGCTGGTCACCCTCTCCTGAAGACTGCGCGTAAATATTTCAGAGGCAACTGTGGAATTCAGCGTGGATCTTTTGAATTAGAAGGAGAGAGGAAATATAAAGGGGAGGTCTATTCTGCTTATTATTGGTGTGATAAAACCTAACTCTTTATTTCGTTTATCCCCCCTCAATCAATAGCATGATCAATAAAGTTTCATTTTCACCGCGTTTGCATGCGCACATTGGCTCAAAGCAAACTTCACAGCGTGCCACGTTGCGTCACATGACAGGTATGCCTGTGAGCAACGCTCCGGCATGGCAGCGGTTCAAATTCCCCTGATGATACCAATATGGCGTGAACATCAAAAGACTCCCGTGCGGGCACGCGTCACATTACGCGGAGCTGTCGATCCGGAGGAAATTAGGGCAGAAAAAAGTAACGACCGACTGATTCCGGCCCGCGCTGCACGAGGCTCTGCATGCAGGCGCACCGAGGGGCGCAAAGAGGAGCACAAAGTTAAATAGCAGTAGCTGCTCCAGGTTCAGCACTTGTTGTTGCAGGGGAGGGTTCACAAAAACGGCTATCGATGAAAATTTCCATACTAATGTCAGGGGGGAATTCTAAAAGCTATTTCCTGATATGATGCAGTAAGAAAAAAAAGAAAAGAAGGTTGGACTATAATCCTACACATTTAAACTATTTACAAATTAAATAAAGCCCCACAGGTGAGGGAATTAAAAAAGCTTTTAATTAGACTAAGTGTTGGACCTTGACCTCTGTAACCATACTGCGGAAGATGCCAAAGCCACGATAGCCGCAATGTGTTTTCGAACTCCATCCCTCAGACAAAAGCACTCGTAGTTTGGACAAAGGTTTTCAATTATTATTGTCCAAATGCAAGGTTTAAATAATTACACAGCAATGCCAAATAGTCCTTGTCAAAACAGCAGCTCGTTTGCATGATTCGTAAAGAAAATGCGAAAGACGCACACAAAAACACACTCACACACAATAAACATAAGGTTCGTCTAAGATCTCATTGCATGTTTTTACTATTCAGCAAGTAATTCCAATCAAAGAATTTAGCGCTCCCCCCCCTAATGGCGCTTTATTTTCAGGGTAAATGATCAATTATTAAAACAGTTCCAGCATCCGAATCGTCAGCCGGAGTATCCACTTTCTTTATCGGGTTTCTGTGACTTTAGATCTGACTGGCAGGACAAAGAAAAGTGTGCGGATATGACTGGGGACGATACAAGGCTCATTTGATTCCCTATAGCGTTCGTGGATTAAGTTGGTCTTGATGGGCTACCAGCGGCTGAGAAGATACATTCATTAAAATGCAACGGATCCCTTTTCGAAAGTAAACAGCAACAAGTTAAACGCAGAACAAGCATCGAGTCCAAAAGTCCAGCCTTACCTGGATGGAAGGTTAGCTGTAAAAACACAGACAGTAGTATCCAGAGGTATTCCATAGTTAGTATTCCATGGGTCTAGCAGTAAAGGTGAGCCCGTGCCTTTTTATGGTTAAGGTACTTCTACTCTACTCGTCCGAGCGCGTCGGAGTTGTGGGAAGTTGACTGCGGGCTCTGACAGAGGCGCACTGACCAGGCTTTAAAGGCACAGATGCTCAGCACAGCTCACGACAGCAACAGCCATCGCCTGTTTGCAAACATGCTGTGTTTTTCCCGCAGCGCGCCAGGGCGGACGGAGCAGGCGGACCAGGTATCTCCGACTGACTGTCACTGCAACATGTTTATAGGAGCCTGTGGGGAAGCCACACACGGCTCACCGAGAGAGGGAGGTGTTTTGTCGCCTGTCTCCCAAGGCAAGAAAGAGAGAAATCAACAGAGACCCGCAAATCAAGACAAAGACTCCCTCACTTGGTTCATTTGGTGCGCATCTAATTTGATCGTCTCAGGCGCATTGACGCATTCTAATGGAACAACTCTCCAATTTGTGACTCGTAAACAGAGCTAAGAAATAAATTACCATGTATGTTTGACACTTATGATGAAACCAGTTGGATTAAACAGAAAATATTATAACACAGTTTTTCGTTGTTGTAAACATTCTGAAACATTGTGCAACAGTCATTTGTACTGAAGGAAGACTACGTAGACTACACATCTTCTCTTTTGTGTTTTCCTGTTCTTTCAGCCTGCCAAGCGTCCAAGATTGCAGATGTTCCACAAGATTAATTGTACTTTCGGGGTGAAGCTGAAAAGAAATGTTTGTTTTTCTTTTTGTCCAGATAGCAAACACGTTTGCATACTTTAACATGGGAAAATTGATTTGAAAGAAACACTGTTGTCAACACCCACTGAATTAAAGGTAAACAAGACAAGTCGTGAACTACTCAGAGTTAATTAGATATTATTTGGAGTAAACTGCAAGAAAGAACTCATGCTGAACAGAGCAGTTCACGATGGGAAAACCAAGTTATAATGATATCCAATTAATTCAAGTCACTGTCACTTGAAAAAAGAAAAAAGAAAATCCATATAGAAACTTTGACAAAGCTCCAAAGTTTTAGATATGATACTTTGAAATAGTGTTGTTTGGAAGTTGTGTAAGGGCCCTTACACATAAAAAATTAAATGTGTAACGCCGGAAATTTTAATATACATCCACAATTTCAATGCTTGATTCTGTGGAACAAAGTTTCTTGTTAAGGGATGGTGGTGTACTCAACTGCATTTCAATGGGATTTGTTTTGCCCACGGTTTATCGTGTGGATCTCAGCAATAAAACCTGAGCAAAATGAAAAATCTTTTTGACTGTGTAGACATGACTGACTAAAAGCTGGAACTGTGGGTAAGCTTTCCTTAAGATTGCATCATACTGCACAGGTGTACCTAATGAAACGGCAGAGGGGTTTGGGTCTCACAAAAAAAAAAAAAAGTTTTAGTCACTCGATGGATATCTCCTGACATTTGGTAATATATATAATTATAGTAATCCATCTTACTGCTTATTTCTAGTTGGAGCTTGTCCCTGCTGACATTAGTAAGGTGGGGTACACCCTGTACAGGTTAACACTCCATCACAGAGAGGTGCAAGACAAATAACCATGCACACACTCACTCTTACTGGTCTCCAACCTGAGGCTGACACCAGCATTTTTCGATTCCTCAAATTTCAACAAAAAACAGTGATACATTAGTATTAGGGTAAACGTGCAGATAATAATTAGAAGGGCTGGATTTATTTTTAAGAATCAAACTTGAATGATTCAGTAAAAGTATTCAGAAATACATGTTTCAGTCTTTGAAAAGTCACATGAAATGTTTACTAGACAAACATGTTTAATCAAGCTGATGTCAAAAACTGATAGGGTGCCATGATGGGCATAAATGACCCTTTATACCACATAACCACAATAATATTTCCTGGTAATGCTTACATGCAGTGTGCACCATGGTTCTTGGAATACATGCTGATTTGCATTCAGAGTAGCAAAGCAAACATTTGCATTTCAGACGTTTCCATGGAATAAACTAGAATAGCAGGAGGAAAGAGCAGTTGCACGATTAGAGGGTCAGTTATTCAACTCCATGTTTCACCAGTTGAAGAGACCTCCATGCAGAGTTACCAATGGCAATAACTTTGAATATCTCAACTGGTCAGTATATTTGCCCAAAGTACGCCCCCTAGCTGAAAAACCTTTTACGCTTATGATTAATCGATCACGTTCTCTCACATTTCTGCCTTTTTTCTAGAAAAAAAAAACATTTTCCCCCCTATTTAACTCCATTCTTTAATTTGCTACCCCATATTTTTCTTTGGAACGTTCAACAGTCTTTTCAGATTGCCAAACAGATATGCAAATTAGCTATCTGTAAACAAAACACTGGACAGTTGTCTTTTTTAATACTGCTTAGATCAGCAATAAATGCAGTTGAATTTACCAAGTCACCTTTTCTGAACCCTTTAATATGTTGTTAGATTGATTTGAACACGCTCTATCATAAAGGCTTGACTTTGATATTTGTTATTTCAATATTTGAGATTTCTTTATCATAAAGATGAATCTACCACTGGGGAAGACTGTACGCCAAAGATTAACACCTGAGCAAGAAAAGATTAAAAGGTTGAATTAAAAGGTTGTTTGGTTAGTCTAATTCATGGAGAAATCTAATATACTTTATATTCTACACCATTTTGCCTAACCTTTAAGGCTGGGCTGATTCATTTTCTGAGAAATATGGCCGCTCTATTTAAAGTCCAAACAGTCATAAGCCAGTCAGTGTGTGATTAATGTGATAGACTGTTTGGTGGAAGTCTTTGGGCCATAAATGTCACTGCAAACCTTTTAAAACAAGTCTCATGATATATGTCTGCCTTGGCACATTAACAGATAGAAGTTCAAAACAAAGATGGGGCAGAGCCTTGTGTTTGCTTCGCCGTGCAACCAAAAAGATGACATAAAACATACTGTCTTGATCTGAAATGTACTCCTCGGTCATGTGTTCTTATTGGTACTGCCTCATTTTATAAAGAGAGAAACATACTTTTTGTAATGTCGACTCTATCACAACCGCTAAAACATTGAAGAACAGGCAATATCAAATGTGTTGGCAGATATGAAAAACAGGCAAATATGTTTCTAAAGCACATGAGGTGTTATCCCATAATGCAGGCCTCAACAAATTCCTTTTGTTATTCAATAGCCTCCACCATCATTTCTCCAAGTGTGAGCTGCACAGACCACTCTCAAAGGCTCAGATGGCTGCCGCTCTGAAACCAAACCTCTAATTTCTCTTCCTCGACGCATTAACTCCTGCAAAAGACCCATCAATTATCACACATTGATTTTTCCATTTACATAAATGCCTGTTTGGATAACAGAAAAAAGATTTTTGTCTGATCAACACGTGCAAACACAACACAGTGGTCAATAGATCTGAATGGAAGAAGAGACCAAACTGAGTAATGTATCACACTTGGCTGTGAGAGGCGTGGAATAAACAATAGCTTACTTCAGACCTGAGATCAATGCACGGTATCAGTGTCATTCTCTGTACTCGTGAATTTTATTTATCAAAGTGTGCAAGGTATATTTCATCCATCTATTTTCTATACTTCTTATTCCCAGCAGTGCTGTGTGTGTGTGTGTGTGTGTGTGTGTGTGGACAAATATGGAAAACCAATCGTTGTCTTTAAAGAAACTCAGTTAACTTATTTCTTATTTATGTAACACTATTTTCACAGATGAAACCATGATTGCCAAACAGCACAGTGTTTTGTTTGTTCGAAACTGAGATCAACAGGCCATCAGCATCTGTTGGAAATCTCCAACACAAAGGTGCTACTGTATCCGTTGGAATCGCTTCCTCTGAATAAATAAGAAGTGGATGCAAAGTGTACCAATGATAGAAACTGACATCAGTTCTGATGAAGCTGTTTATCATCAGTGGTGAAACTGCATCCAGGTGAAATTGTAACAGAAAACTTATTGAAATAAAAAATATGATACAAAGAGCCCAGAGAGGCCGGGTTGGTTTGAAGTTGTCCATCTGATTTGCTCGACAAACCCCAAGTTAAATTAAACTTGACATGAGGAAATTAAATGAAAACTGACATGTATGTAAATATTATGTAAAACTTGTTTTTTATTTTGCTTATCTGGAAAAATAATCTCTTAATCTCATGCACATCTTTTTCATTTACCATTTTGCGTCATTCCACTGCACACATCTTTATATCCTCTGACTCAGACTGTGCTGTTATCACTTGAAGTGGTCTTGACAAAGAGTACTGCAGGTGTTTTTCATCGCTTTCACAGGAATGTGTTCTTTTCTTAAGCCTTTGCACACTAACCAGTGAATCCTTTAAGCATAAGAAAACAAGAAACTCAAGAAATGAATCAGTGTTTTATCTTAGCATAGAATATAGCAAAGAACATGTTTCCTGTCTTTTTCTTTCATTATTTGCTGTGAGTGGAGGAATAAAAGGCAGCCGGTATCCAAGGCAGAATTGGACACACTTATTTCCAATTTTACACACTAACCTGGCCAGAAAAGCAATCAACAATTGAAATATGTCACACATTCAATCTTTATGTCATTGGCTGATTGATTCATTTTGAAATAAACAAACAAAATCCAACTACCCTTGAGGAAAATGTACAGTCACATTTGCTTTTATTTTCATTTTTGTATTAGTTAATGAAAAGTTACAATATCAATTTCCATCCAAAGTCCACACTTTTCCCCCAATATCTGGTATTGATGATGGGAGAACCAGACGTGTTGAAGGTTTCCTTCCGCGTCAAGAATGATGAAGATTCTCAGTAGGGATATGGCAAGGTCTACGTTCTGCTGTGGCCAAGCCATGTGGAAAACGATGCATCACACTTGTTACTTGTTACACACTTTCAGAACAATGAAACCTGGCAATGTCATGATAAAATGTGTTTGTCCTTTTAGGATAA